TGATGATTTCCTCATCCCTCCAGTCACATTCTTGTTGAGGCTTACTACACGTGTCATTTCCATCTCCTCCTAAACAAAACCCTTGTTTAAAGCTACTCTGAAATGCCTTCCAGTGTTCTCTGGACAAATATGTCTGCCCAAAGCGAATGCAAGCCGGCCGCGGACAGAAGAGAGCCAAGGCTGACTGGTACAAACTGAAATCAAAATCTAGTATTTTCAAATTCTTAATGTTTTGTAAGATACACCCATTCTGGTGATGTGAACAATCAGAAAAGAGCGTCTCAAGTTCAGGGTTGCAATTTACATTCTTCAGCAAGTGAAACTTCTTTTCCATCTCTCATTCATTTACCAATTTATTTAGCATCAATACTTTAATCTTGTATGTCTATCCAACTTCTGCGCATGACAACACTGTAGCTTTGGATAAGAAGCATGGCCCACCCCTCAGGGTCCAGTTAGCCCTGATATGACTCAGGGAGGAAAGCCTTTGGGAATTCAGCCCTTTAATAATGCTAGAAGACGCTGTCAGGGCTCAGTTGGTTAAAGAAGCCGGCTCTAGATTTCAGCTCAGGTCATGATATCAGGGTCAGGAGATCAAGCCCTGTGTTGGGCTCCATGTGGGGCCCGCTTGAGATTCTCTGTCTCCCTCTATTCCTCCCCCACCACTTGCACCCTCTCTCCCTCTCTTAAAAAAAAAAAAAGTGGACAGAACTAAAAATAAATGAAAGAAACTTAAACAGAAAAAAAGTGAAAGTACACAATTGCAACATGCAAATTATTGTTGAAGTATAAACAATAAATAGTAGTTTTGCTACTACCCAATACTTAATAAATCTAACTAATTGTAAGTTCCATGTCCATGCACTGGACTTGCTGAAGGTCAAAACTGAAAACATCTTTTTTTTTTTTTTAAGATTTTATTTATTTATTTGACAGATAGAGATCACAAGTAGGCAGAGAGGCAGGCAGAGAGAGGAGGAAGCAGGCTCCCTGCTGAGCAGAGAGCCTGATGTGGGGCTTGATCCCAGGTCCCTGGGATCATGACCCAAGTGAAGGCAGAGGCTTTAACCCACTGAGCCACCCAGGCGCCCCAAAACTGAAAATGTCTTAAAGAACTGAAATATTATGTACTAAATGTGAATTACTATTTTAGATGAGGAAATAATGGAATAAGCATTAGAAAAATCACAAAAAGATAAGAACTTAATGATCAGATAAAATATTCATTTATATGTAACATGCATATATTTATAAATAAAATGAATACAGTATACAAACTGGCTTGCCAGGAAGACATACTCAATTACTCGTATATATATGTATGTATGTATGTATATGTTCTTTTTTTCACATGTGGACAATTGCTGACTGCTGAGCTGAAGCAGGGCAGAAGGAAAGGGATAAGGACATGCAGAAACACATCAATTGGCAGAGGGCTTGATTGGTGATTGGAGCTTGTGCAAATGAGTTAGGTGGCTTTCAGAGAAAAGATGGAGCCCCCGTGGTGATTTTAACCCTAACAACCTTCACTTGGAAATAGTGCAGAAAAGACTAAGGGCTTGTACCATTTCAGCTAAGTCACTGGTACCCAGCACTGATCAGTTATTTTTAAAAGAATCTTTAAGTAAATTTCTAATATTCAAAATAAGATATTTTTCACTACATTTTTATGGCACAGTTTTAAGAATCCGTTTGCAAGACACCCATATGACCAGGTTGTTGTAATTGACTTCTTAGAGTCCTTCATGTCCTGAACCTGAATACACTCCACTGACCCAAATAAAAGGTAAAAGAACCATCGTCAAAGAATGTGTTCAGATTGCACATGAGTCACCCCTTGTAAACTGTCACTGTTCTCTCTCACATGAGCATTCGAAGGCCTACTATAACCCATACTTTCCCTGACCTTCCTACAACCTGTATTTTTATCTTCTGATCTTGGTGGTCGTTGGAAACAAGGCTAAAAATTTAGACATAGGATTGCTCTTGGCTGATCCCTACTGGCCTAAGACTTTCAATACAGGAAAAAAAAAAAAGGCAAGAGAAATGAAAAATGCCCAGGGAGGTAGTGTTTAGTTGTTTAGTTGTAATTTTAGTTCGGTATTATTGCCCCCATCTTACAGGGTTGGAAACAGGATCAGAGCGACTAAATACCTGGAAAGTTGGAAAGCTGTCAGTTAAACCCAGGTTTGTCTTGTTTCTGAGTCTGTTCAATTTCACTTTGCACCCAGAACGGGTGTCATCCTCTCGAACTTCCTCTGAGGAAGTGTTTGCTCTTCATTTTGAAGGTGACCTACCATTCACCTCATAGTCTGTAGAACCTAGTTTCTCTCAAATGGAAATATACTAACTACTTTGCCCATGAACTAGCGTGTTCCACATGAAGATTCACGTCCAGTGATGCCTGCGATTGCTCTCTAGAGCAGATGTAGGATGAGGCAAATGAAACCAGGTAGATTCCTAAAAGTAGAACTATGATCACCCTGCATTAAAGCTCCTGACTCTAATTTAGGACAGAGAGGACTCAAGGCAAAGGGAAAAACTCCAAGTCCAGTCTCAAGAGGTAGATGGGACTCTTCTACAGAACCATTTTGACCTAGTGAAGAAATGAAACCCAACTGACAGAATCAATTTCAGAAAGAAACTGAGGAATATAAAGAGAAGGAAAACAGCAAAATTCAATTGCCTCCATGCATAAGACACAAAGATCATGTAGACACGCGCGCGTGCGCGCGCGCGCGCGCACACACACACACACACACACACACACAGCCCTTCCCATAACCTGTGTATGCCTGGAACCCCCGTGGCACTAGCCTGGGAGGCAGTATGGTTTGGCAAAGGACAGCACAGTCCTCTTGGACACAGGAACAGACTCCTCCCATTTTAGGCTGTGCCTGGAGAGGAGTTCAATTAGCGTGCCTCAGTTTCCCCGTGGGTTCATTATGAGTACTGAGTTAACGATATATAAAGCACTTGCCGGGACATGGCATGTTGCAAGCACTAGTTAAATGCTAGCTATTATTATTATATACAGTGTTCTTAATAAAAAGGCTTTTGGAACCCTACTGGTATGAAACTTAAAAAAGGCTTTCAAAATAGCACTTTCTTAGTCTATCAACTGCAGACACTGATTAAAATGTTCAGTTTAACAGAAGGTATTACAGACTGATGGATAGTTTTCCAAAATGAAATCCAGAGGTTTCCCTGCTAGTCTTTGAAAAAAAAAAAAAAGATATTTGTTTGCATTATAATCATGGTGCCATGTACAAGCACAATTCCATTTTCTACCTCCTACTGAGTCTTCTTTGTCCACTATGAAATCTTGAATTCCCTTTAAGTTCCTTTCTCCCTGAGCCTAGCTAATGCCACTGTTGCCCTTATCCTCACTTCTGTGATGTTTCCATACTTCAAGGCGGGCCACAGAATGGCCGGCACACAACTGGGAATTCCTGCAAGGCTCGCCAGGTGAACGGTGATTAGCTGCTACAGACTGGAGCCAGGATTGGGGTAGATGGTCCCAAACAATGGAGTCTAACATTCACCCACAAAAGCTTTCATCTCGAGAACATAACCTCTTGTGAGATATAACCGGAAGTCTCAAGGGTAATTGCATTTTGCTGGAATCAAACCTAACAAGTATTTTATAATTAAAGATCATGCTGGTTTCCTTTACCATCACCTGCTGAATCGTGTACTTGAAGCATCCCATAAATAGCAAGGCTGTTTAATATTTATTGAACATCCACAATTACCTCTACATTTTGTTTCTCTGGAAACACACTCCTTTGGTCTGGCTTCTAGAGACCTTGAAGAAGACCATTATTCCATTAAGAACGGAGGCAGAGAAATCCTGTGTGATAATATCATTAATAACACCAGCTTACATTTCACGGTGACTTTTCATTTGCAAAGTGCTTCCGCGCGCCTTATCTCATTTGATCTTCACAAAATTCTGTGTCCAATTTGTCCTTCCTACTCTGTGGAATGTAATATTCCCTGGATCACTCAGTCAGGAGACTGAGTTAATGCGTTGGCGGGAGGCAGACCCCTTACTTGTGGACAGGAGAGGGGGAGACATTTTCTGGTCCCAGTCAGACCTTTAAAAAAATCAGACCTTTTGGGAAAGTTAGCCTATTCCTGGGTGAATGTCCAGGCGTGCACCATGATTGTGGAAGCCTGTAATAGTCAAGAAAGTTACCATTGAAGGAGCATTTTGCAAGCAGTCTATAATCACCCTGGCTCTGCCACTATCGGGTAGACTTTGAAAAGTTTCTCACCTTTTCTGGTTAAGGGAGGAAAAGTGCTAAGCGAGGAGCATGAACAACCAACTTAAGTGAAAAGTGACAGTCAAGCAAATGAAGCCCCTCCCTTTCTCTGTGAACTGCCTCCTGTAAGTGGACATTGTCCCTGAGAAATTCTAGAGCTGCCCCCGAGGCCGAGCCTCAGTTTCTTTGTTTGTAAAGTAAGAGGAAGAATATCTATTTTTTTCTGGGTAATTATAGAGTAGACAAGGTGATTCTTTTAGAACAGAGGTGTAAAAAAGGACATTCTGCACTTGCTGCTATTAAACAGTGAAGGGTACTTTCCATACTTTCTGTACCGTTCTGGATATTTGAGGTGTCCAGACTCTTATACACACGGCTCAGTCAACTTTTAAAAGGAATCGGGACATAATTAGAGTAGTCTGAATTTCTTATAATTCTTTACTTCTATATTCTTCCTGAACAAATACTCCTTTGACCCCGACCAGTGCCAGGCTTCTGTCCCAGACAAGCTTAGGAGCAGGCCGCTGCTGGCACGGGCTCTCCCTGACAGAATGCTCCTTTCTGGAGCACAGCGCTCCGTCTTCTTCTCCTTGTTTATGATCTTAGAAGTCACGAGAATGAAGAGATTTCTTCCTCACGGTAGCCGTGGATTCACAAGGGTATCGCTAGTTTGGGGCTTTCTTGTGGTTTTCCAAGCTGCAATTTTACATGATAAATTTATCTGTCAGTTACCACAGATCCAGGAAGGCTCAAGTTTTCGCACAGTTCCGACTGTCGTTCCTTTACAATCATCAGGTTGTGCTCCAAGGGGGACGGTGATGTTCTCCACCTGAAAACCTGCGTGCGCTCCCCGGACACGGGCTGTGTTTCAGAGCTCTGGAATGCTCCTTCTTTATGCAGTTGCCATGAAGAGTCCATTTAAATGAACAGAGAAAAAGCTACAAAGGGAAAACGTCTATGAGGCGAAAGGAGAAGATAATTTGAAGATAAACATTCAAGGAAGCCGGCTTGGGATATTAAAACGACATAACAGCATGGTAGGAGATTGGCTTTTTCTCTCATAAACTCTCTAAATTAAGATCGTACTTTATTTACTCAACACTGTGTTTGCGGAGGACTCCCGAGAGTGACTCAGCGCTGGGGCTGTTTGCTGACAGCGTCGTGGGAGGCCTGGATGTGGACGCAAGCTGTCCTTGCCCCCTTCTGGGGGAGGGGCGGGTGTGATGAGGACACTGCCTGGCCGATCCGGGAAGCCACAATGGGGAGGCAGTCGATCAAAGCTGCGGCTATCTGGAATGGACATCGTCTTGGTCTTGCTGGGGTGGTGCGGGGATCAGAATGGCTCCTCTGTTCCTTTAAAATGCTGCTCAGATAACGGGCCAGCCTCCCACGCATTCGGAGAGGGCGCCTCTAGCTTTACGGAAACCCAATCCCCACCCCAGACCTTATTTCCACTCGCAGCTTTGATACCCTGTCCCGCCAAGCTACCCTCGAGGGACGCAGTAGCTGTTTCTCTCCATGCGCTCCGCGCTGGGCGTCCACATTGCTTCAGGATCACCTGAGGACAGAGGTGCCCCTGCCCTCCCTCCCCCTTCCCTCTCGAGGCACACAGATACCGTCAAGAGTTTCATTAGTGAAGGTCTTTAACATTCATCTATGGCGACAAGCTGGCAGTTCGCTATCGCACTGAAAAGCGACCAAAAGGAGCTGGAAACCAGACTGTAACCGGGAGAATTTTTGCCAAGTTGCTTTGTCCTTGCCACTTTCTGAAGCAGGGTAAGTCATTAGCAAGCCCATGCTAATTGAATTTGATTTAATGTCAACACTGTCACAGTCACAGAGAGGACACCAATAAAATCCCAGCCCTGTTTGCTGCAATCATTAGGCCCAGTTTTTCTGACAACAAAAGTTCAGCCTTTGGTGGAAGGTTGTCCCATCGGGCTTAGAGAACACAGTGCTTTCCTGGCCTTCCACGGAATAAAAGCAAGCGCTGAAGTCATCACTTAGAGTGGAACCAAAATTGAATGGGAAAATCCACTTGTACAAGTGACACAAGTGGCTGATGGGCCCCTCGTCAGTATCTGGTGGGGAGCTCCTTCAAAACAGTTACAGATCGCACTTGAATTTTTTACAAGATGTACCAGTTAATTAAATGTTCAAAATGGCACCCGTACTCTGTTCAAAAAGCAAGACTGATAGAGTTAAGATGTGGAAAAAGCACATTTGAAAACTTGCCAGTCTTTTCAGTAATTGAAATACAAGTGAAGCCTTTGTTACTTTTACCTCAAGTTATATGTCTTATGGGGTGGGAAGGTGGGCTTCCTGATGAGTTACCAAAATAATTTAATACAAAAAAAGGTGAGATCTTAGTTATCTATAGTCAGAAGATTCTGAAGGGTGAAAATTACCCGCTGAACTTCAGCTATAATTTGCTGATCTTTAGACAATCATTTCATAAGCAATTTCCTCACATTCTAGAAATTCTCGTCCTTTGTGCCACATACAGGAGAAGAAAATTGGGACCATATCTTAGGAAGTGGCACCAGGACCTGTTTGAACCTAACCCTGTCCCGGTACACCCGGATGAGGGAATATATGAGGTAATGAAGTGAATTCTGTCAAGGGAAAAGGAGATTTCAGCTGATTTTATCTAATTAGTCCCAAGACTGGCCCCAAGCGAAGAAGGAAAAATATTCCAAGGGGTTTTCCTTACCGGTGCTCATTTAGCTCCAGGCAATGGCAGTGTGGTTCTGCTGGGTTTGTATCTCGTTGCCCTCAAGATCACCCTGTTTTCCTCCTGTGACCTGCACTTAACAGACGATACCATCGCCTCATCAATTGCCAATGCCACCAGTTCAATAACCAGATATCACTGTGGGACATCTCTCTCGATGAGAAGCAACTTCAGGTCTTGGCTTTCTCCAAAAATAGCCCGCACTGCCATGCCAGGCGCATCCCAGATTTCTCCGTCGTCCAAGCTCGGGAAAGAAACTGTTCATCCCTGCGCTTTCTTTGAGATGCTTTCGTAGTCAACTGAAGACTGTGTTTCCTGTGACTTTGGCCTTGAGACATAACTGACAATAACATTTTCTCTAACGCCAGTACCCATGACTCCCATCCTTCTTTAAAACCAGTGACAATCGCCTATACGAATAAATGTTATCTGTTCTCCCCCTCCCTGTGCAATTTTGTAGCTTGAATTTTAAAAGAGAGAGAGCAAAAGGGAGGTTTTCGTTTCGTATCGCATGGCACCAGAAGAGTTCCTCTGGGGAACCCGCTTTCACTAAACCCTGGCAAAAGTCGCAAATTGATAGCTCAGGGGGAGATACGATAGAATTTAGAAGTCCTTCGCTGGGTAGGGACAGAAGGTTCCCAGAGGGCTTTGTATCGGGCAACACAATGTAAGGTGCGAAGAGGCAAGAACGGCAGGTGGGAGGGAGTGGTGCAGGGATGGGACAAGCTGGAACGCTGACTGAAGGAATGGGCCCCCCTTCACTCTGCTAGGGGGAGAAAGCACGCGACATTTACTGTCCCTGTGCTGGTCACCCTGTACTTCAGCCTCACCTGTCCTCCAAGGCAACAGAGGGCTCCATTAACATCTGCGACCTCCTGTTTCATTAAACTACAGGGCACAGTAGAGACAAAAGTTCTATTAGATATCAGCATTCTCACTTAAGGACCTTTTAAGTTCAAAGTTAACAAGAAAATCACTTTTCTTTCTATTATGAACTGGAAAGGGAATTATGACAAAAATACATCTAAAATTTTGGCGATGTTAGGTGTTCCCCCAAAATGGTAAGGTTTGATGAAAACATTGTAGATTTTTAAAGTGAAAAAACAGGATAAATTTATTGTTTAAAGTGTTTTTAATACTGGCAACACTTTTCAAATAAAGAGGTGAGATAGTGAATAGAGAATTCTACCTTCTTTTGAGAAAAACAGCTACTGTCCAACTCTAGTAATTAAAAATGTTAGCTCTTTTAAATGGACAGGAGCAAACGTTATAGTACAAAATACTGCCCTTGTGTACCCTGTATGTCATAATATAATTCATCAATTCTCCTAAGTGGCTACATACTACATTACTCCAAAAGAAGTGTATCATTTGAAGGACAAATTATTAGTCATGATATAGGTGAAGTACTTTGTTTCCAATGTAATTTGAATACTATATATTTAAACTCTGTTTTTTCTTAGGAGCAATTCTGTCCAGCTTTACTTAGGTATATATGATGAATAAAATTATATTTACCGTGTCCAAGGTGAGGATTTGATAGACATATACATTGTGAAGGGATTCACTCATTCAGTTAATTAACACATTCGTCATCTCACGTACTTACCTTTTGTGGGGTGTGTGTGTGTGTGTGTGTGTTGAGCACATTTAAGTTAAATCACAGAAACAGAGTAGAAAAGTGGTTGCCAGGGGCTGACGGGTGGGGAAAATATGGAGAAGCTGGTAAAAAGGTACAAATTTTCACTTATCAGATAAATAAGATCTGCTTATTTGCCGTATAACATGGTGACTACAGTTGATAACACTCTGTTGTAGAGTTCAAAATTTACTAATAAGAGTAATTTAACTGTTGTTAGGAAACTCTCTGACTGCTGTAGATACCAACATCAACCACACGATGTCACCAATAACTACAGTACCAACTTAGAGCTCTGGGGAAGAACTTTAATGCATGCATTTCCTCCTAGGTTAAATTATTTTCTATTTTGTTCATGAATTTTCTTTCTATTCATCAAACGACAAACACTCAAGATCTATTACTCTCTTATTATTATTAATTTACAACTACAGTGTAGTTCTCAGAATTTATACATTTCTAAATTTATTTTTAAAATATTAATAATGAGATTTTTAAAATTTCTTTTCAAAAGATCTATTTTCTTATTAACCTCACATATGTTATGATGATATAATTCAGGGATGAGTAAGAATTGATCAACGAGTACATACTGAACACTGACTATCAGGCCCTTTGGTGACTCAGAAATAGACACATTTATGACACACACACATACACACACACACACACACACGGCTGTATTATACTGTAATCTCAATCAATACTGCCTTCTGGAATTCTATTTTTATGTGAAAGTTGGAAAGGATAGGATAATCTTACCCCTTAAAATTGTACCAATCATGTTTAATATTTATTACATAATTATGTTTTTTGGCATAACACAAGAGTAATTAAAATAATATTTTACTTCTCTTCATGAAGCAAAGCCAATCTTTTCTACCTCCAATTGTTTTCAGAGACGGATTCTGAATATACAAGGTTAAAAGAAGTAAACATATTGTGATGGTAAAACCTCCTTTTTTTCTTTGAAATGGTTTATCATAATATTATGCTTAATTATGCAAATATGCTGGAGGATTTTTTTTATGGGTACATCAGCCAAATTCAAATACATTAAAGATGACAAATACATATTCATTTACACATTCAGCACATATATGCCTATATGCACGTTTCTATTAATTTAACAAATACGGGCACGTATTAAAAAGTGAGGGAGTATGGAACAAAGCTATTTTACAAACTTAGTAGAAATCTCTTTTACTAAAAATAATTTTAAGTTCTAGGGAATCATATTTTTTGTTGTTGTTAATTACTCTCTATGTCATTCCCAAAAAGATTTCAGAGGAAGAAAGAACTTTGGTGTTATAAGATTGATACAGTTTCATTAGCCCTAAAAAATATCAACTGAAGTTTTCAATTATTGGAATTGCATATACTATTCCTTTTTAAGGTATACAGGAGAGGGAGGGGGAATTAAAAAGATGACCTAATCAAAAACTTCTATAAGATCTGAAAAGATGGAATAAAAATTTAAAATGTTTCCAAATATTTGGCAGACAAAACATATAACTGAATTTTTTATTGACTGTGCCGGATGTT